AAAACCATACATTCAACATGAACCAAAGTTCTAAAATGATTATTAGTAATAATATACACACATATAAATCCTGGCCTTTGTGCTTGTTGTTGTTGTTGTTGTTGTGTGCTGTCAGTCGGCCCCGACTCATAGCGACCCCTCCTTGGGTTTCCGAGGCAGTATCACTACGGAAGTAGATTGTCCAACCTTCCTTCCGTGGAGTGGCTGGTGGGTTTGAACCTCCAGCCTTCTGGTTAGCAGTCAAGTGCCTTAGGCACTACACTACCAGACAAACCTATAAACTTGGAGAAGTACTTTATTCCCTAAATTTCATTCTTCTCATTATAAAATGATGATAATAATACTAACTACTTCATAAGGAATAAAAAGACAATCTGTTTCTTACAGCACTGCTGATACATAAGTAATTAAAAACTGATGGATATCATTACATGATACTGTAAGTAAGAACAAAGATGGAAAAGAAAGACACTACAGTTTTAACTAATTACTTCCAGATGGTGGCATTTCAATAAATTTTTCTTTATTTCTTAAGTTTTCTAAATAAACATATATTCCAAAACAAAACAAAACAAAAAACCAACAAACTCACTGCCATTGAGTCAGTTCCAAATCATAGCAATCCCTTTTAGGTTTCTGAGGTGGTAAATCTTTACTGAAGTAGATTGCCCAGTCTTCCTTCTGTGGAGTGGCTGGTGGGTTTGAACTGCCAACCTTTGGTTAGTAGCCAAACACCTTAGGCACTATGCCACCAGAGCTCATTATTTTAAATGTTACTCAAAAAAACAGTAAGACATGGTCTTTACTCTCAGAAAACAAGTTCTGTTGGCATAGTGGTTAAAGCATGTGGCTGCTGACCAAGGTCAGCAGGAGAATAGTCTCCATCAGTAAAGATTTAAAACCTTGGAAAAGCCTATGGGACAGTTCTACCCTGTCCTAAGGGGTAGCTACGAGTTGGAATCCACTTGAAGGCAGTGGGTTGGGTTTGGTTATCCACAGAAAACAGTGTTTTGGGATGGAAACATATAAACAGACATTTAAAAAGGGAAAGATGGAATATTTATTGAGCATTTAATATATGCCTCAAAACTGTGCTAGGTAATACATGCATTATCTCATTTAACCTCATAACCTATAAAGCAGGCCCTATTAAGCCTAGCCTAGGGGAGTTCTGGTGGTGTAGTGCCTAAGGCATTTGACCGCTAACCAGAAGGCTGGAGGTTCAAACCCACCAACCACTCCTTGAAAGGAAGGTTGGGCAATCTACTTCCAGAGACTGGACCCCAAGGAGGGGTCCAATTGACTTGACGGCATTGAGTTTGGTTTTTTATTAAGCCTAGAAGGAATCCTGGTGACACAATGGTTAAGAACAGGGCTGCTGACTGAAAGGTGAGCAGTTCAAACCCACCAGACACTCCACAGGAAAAAGATGTGGTAGTCTCCTTCCTTAAAGATTACGGCCTTGGAAACCTATGGATCAGTTCTATTTTGTCCCATAGGGTCACTAGGAGTCAGAATCAGCTTGATGGCAACAGATTTGGTTTTTTGGTTTGTATAAGACTAGTTTGTACATAAAGAAACAGGTGCAGATAAGTAACTTGCCAAAAGTTACACCAAATAATTGGCAGAAATGAGATTCCAAGAACAGGTCAGTGTGAATACCAAAACCCATTTATTTCCACCAAACCTCACTTCCTCCTATAGTCACAAGAAAAGAAAAATTACACCCAAAGGATGCATCTTTTTCTTTGCCTGGCTCCTTTTTCCAGAACTTATTACCATGTGATATACTACACAGTTGTTAATGTGTTTAATATGTCTGTCCCTCCCATTTAGAACATGCTCTCCAAAAGTATAGGTATGTTTTCTATTCACTGCTGTCTATCTCAGCCCCCTGGCACATAGATGACACACACTCAATAAATACTTTAGAATGAAAGATTCTGAATAGAGAAATGACTCAATCGTGTTCCCTGGTAGCACTGTGAAGAGACTACTATGGTGGCAAAGAGGCTTGCTGAAGAAGTGGCTTACAAGAAACTAAACAAGAACCTGAAGTAGGGTAGCAAAACTACCAATAGAAGACTACAGAGATATCCAAGGGATACCACTGATGGAACACGATGACTAACTGGACTTGAGACCGAAGGAATGCAGGGTCAGGAATGAAGAAGGCTAACAGAACGTATTGCACTGGGCAGATCTGCTGCAAAGGACACTGTGAATGTCTGGGGGCAAGCAGGACCAAATCCGCCCTGAGAGCCCCACTGCCGGGCTGGGGATTCTACTCTGAACAAGGTAACAAAATATAAGCTAAAAACCTCATAAAAGGACACTCAAACATTCAGGCACTAATCATGTCTGTCATGCTTAAATTACAAGAGCCTCTAATTTTTCCTCATCCATACACACCCAACTCTGCTACCAAATCAGTATTCCTAAAACCTAATTTCTCATCATTCTTCTTCTTTAAAATCTCTAATGTGCTCAAGATGAGATTTTCCTTAGGCCAGCAAAACCTGACCATAGATTCTTGTAAAGAGCTCTGGTGGTACAGTGCCTAAGGCATTTGACTGCTAACCAGAAGCCTGGTGTTTCAAACCCACCAGCTGCTCTGCGGAAGGAAGATGGGGCAATCCACTTCCATGAGGATTTATTGCCTTAGAAACCCATCAGGGGTTATTGTAAGTTGGAATCAACTCGATGGCAGTGAGTTTGCTTTTTTGGTTTATTCTACTCATAACGTGAAGTATCAACAGTATGAGTGAGATTAGGCTCTTTAAATCTGAATTCACCACTTACCAGCTGTGTGACCTCGGGCAGGTAACTTAACCCCTCTGTGCTTCCCTATATTCCTTATCTTTAAAATATATCTAGTACTCATATCATAGAACTGTCAAGAAGATTAAACAAAAGCTCATATAAAGTGCTTAGCACACAGTTATCTGGCATAGGAGACATATCTTTAAATGTTAGCTATTATTATTACTTTCCCCAAAAAACTTCCTACTCCATCTGGGCTGCTCTCCTTGATGATTTCTAAACTTACACAGTACTCATCTAGGGTCTCTGCCAGTGGAATTCCTCCCCATGACAGACCACCCTTTAACATCAACCCTCCAAAAACCCAAACCCACTGACATAGAGTTGACTCCAACTTATAGTGACCCTCTAGGACAAAGCAGAACTACCCCATAGGGTTTCCAAGGCTATAATCTTTACAGAAGCAGGCTGCCTCATCTTTCTCCCACAGAGCCACTGGAGGGTTTGAACCACCACCCTCTGGTTAGCAGCCAAAAGCTTTAACACGGTGCCACCAGGTATTCCATCATATAAACAATTTGGTGGCATTCCCATGGCTGACTTTACCCTTCCACTGCAGAAGGTATCCTCAGACATCTTAAGGACATAAGCTAAAATGATATACTAAGAAAAGTCAACCAGAACTCCAACTTTATTATGTTCCAATAAAGCAGTGACATCAGTGAACAAGCACTGGTAGGCTGTGTTTGATAAAGAAGAAATGTTAAAAGGGCAAAGTAATTTAGGGTTTTTGTAAATTCCACTGAAAATCAAACAGACAAAAAAAAAAACAAACACCTGATTATCTTTGATCTACACTGCCAAAGATAACCTTTGTGACATGGCATTAAAGACGTCTGTTCAAGGAAAAGCACAGAGCTTTAAAACTTTAAAATTTACCCCAATCAAAGTTTCTAATAAATAACACAAAACGTACAACTCAGTTTTTTTCTGAGAAAAACCTTTCTAGGAAAATGGAAAGGAGTAGTATAAATGTTTTGTATAATTAAGTATTTTACCTAAATTACTACTTAAATTACTACTTAAATATTTTGAGAATAAAGGATAACAGAGTCCTTAAAAACAATGAACACCAAAGGAACTGGTCAGATTTATCCACTGCTAAAATAGAAAGTTAGTAGCAATTGGATGAAAGCCAGCAGTATTTAGGCTTATTACTACTGATCTTGTAAGACCGTAGTTGTTCTCAGATTTTAAAACAAAAAGCTGACAAGTTATTAGAAATAAGCTACCATATCGGAATTAGAACTTTCATGCATTTGTTTAATGACTATAAAGTTGATATAACGAAATGAAATTAAAGTGTCTATAGCCAAACAATCAAAGATGGAGTCTCGACAGCTAACAGGGAAAAATAAATGAGGCAGTTCTGGTCTGAAAAGCAAAATAAGAGTAAGGGGGGGAACCTGTCAAACAGCCTGGATGAAATCAGGGAGTTAAAAGAAACTACTCATTTCCTTTAGCACTGTGGGAAAATCCCGGTTGCTAACAGAAAGCTCAAAGTTTAGTTTGGCTGATTTCATTTTGTTTTCTTTCCAACACCATCGCTGGGTCTGAACGACTGTTTTCCTCTCATTACTCAGTAAAAACTCCCCCAATGAATGGAGTTGTCTTCCGGTGCAAGGCTCCCCAGTCTCCCAGGTCAACACCCGCCCCCGCCTCCCTCCCTCTAAACGAGCTCAGACGCCTCTAGGCTTGTTGTGGTGTCACCAGTCTGCAGGCGAGTGCTCCAAACTCAATGGACAATGGGAGCTCACCCCCGTCAACACCAACTACAAAGCTCAGGAGGTCCATTTCCCTTTTCCTGCCCAGATGCTGTTTTCCCTCCTTCGAAGTAGAGTGCCAAGCTGGACTAGAACCCCTCGTTAGGCTAGGGCCTGTGCCTCTCCCCACCTGCGGAGCTGCTGATCCTCCCGACCCCCCAAATAAGTTGTACCTTGCATAGGCCAGAAGGAGGCCACTACCAGGGGCTTGGATGTAAGTGCAGGTTTCACAGTCCAGGTAGGACGGGAAGGAGTGTCTCTGGACGCTTGGTCATGGTTTTTCAGGTTAAGCCGTTCCCACTGTCCCCTCCCCAGCCTCAACTTGCTTCCCTGCCCCTACAGCGATGGGAACGGAGAGGTGCGTGAAGGCAGTACGACTGCCCCCTCTCCCTTGGAGCCTCAGCCGACACTCACCCTTTCACCACAAAGAAGGGGTCCTCCATGGACATGGCGTCCCAGCCCCCGGCCACCTCACGCTTGCTCCGAGAAGAGGGCGCCCGCGCCCTCCTGGCTTCCCTCCGCCTAACCCGCCGGCCTCCCGCAGCCGCCGGCGCCTCGGCTTGGAGGATCCAGAGCAGCGAGCGCGCGCGCAGGCCTGGATGCACCGGACACCCGTAGGTCCAGCACTCAGTCAGTGTCGCGGGGCAAATCCCTTACTCTGATGCCCGCCCCCGCGGCAGCCTCCTCCCCCGGCTCCTCCTGGCGCGTCCGGCAGGCCTGACCCCGCCCCCAGACCCCTCTGTAGCTGCCAACCACGAAAGCTTCCCGCAGCACCACTTCCGCACCCGCTCTCACGTGACCAGGACAAGCCCGCCCCTCGTCGGCGGGCCAATGCAAAGCGTCACGCGACCCTGGAGGCGGGGTTCTGGGGACTTCCGACAAGGGGAGGTCTTCTTCTGCCTCTCTCAGACTTGAGGGGTAGGGAATGTTTGTTCCATATAGAAAGATGTGTTTTCATAGTAAGCAGTAGTTGTGCTGATCTGAACAATCTCTTTACCTTTCCTTAACTTTTAATACTTGGTTTTGATGATAGGTGATTTATAAATCCATCTCGTCTTCAATAAAGCATGTTCATATACATTATCTCGTTTTCATAGTGTTACACGATTTGTTTATGTAGATCTTACCATGTGTCAGAAAATATGTTAAAGACAGGATATGAGTTCTCTCAATATTCTTGTGAAAAGGTGTTATTCCCATTTTGTAGATAAGAAGTTCAGAAAGTTTTCAAGATTTGCTGTGGTCTGGCAACCTGGTCAGATTCTGTGCATTTCCCTCCAGACTCGGATGTAATTTCTTCTGCTGTACATTCTGCACATGACCACATAAGGAAATTTTTTTCGGACTGCACATTTGACGGACAAAGAAGGAGCCAAGTGTTGCAGTCTCCTCTCACCTGCGGTTCAGGGGCTCTTTCAGGAGCATTAACCAACTGCATATGGTAGAGATTCTATGAGATTTGTGCATGGAGATTGTGGACTTTAATTGCTAATATTCATTGGACACTTACTGTGTGTCAGACACTTCCCTAAGTGTTACCTCAGTTGCTCTCACAATGAGGTAAATACTGTTAATATCCTCATTTTACAGACAAGGAATCTGGGACACTGTGAAGTTAATGACTTGCCCAAGGTCACCAGTCTTTTGGGAAAAAACAGAGTCCTTTGAAGGCAAACACTGTTTGAACCAAATTCTATCATTCAGTTCCTCAGCTATGGCGTACTGCCTAAAGCATTTGACTGCTAACCAGAGGGCTGGTGGTTCAAACCCACCAGCCACTCCTCAGAAGGAAGGTTGGGCAATCTATTTCCATAGTGATACAGCTATGGAAACCTAAGGAGGGGTCACTATGAGTCAGATTTGACTAGACGGTGGTGAGTTTAGTTTTGAATAATATCTAGCTCTTCGGTCCTAGTTAGGATTAAATGAGAATGCATGCAAACCACAAGCTCCCCCTTCAAAAAAAAAATGATAATGAAGTCAGAGAAATCCATCAAGGCTGCTGTGGTCATCTAGTCATGAAAGAATGAAGACCAAACCTGAATGAAAACAATTGCAAATGGAGAGAAAGGAGCCAATCTAATAGATGTTTCAAGAGGGGAAAGGTCAAACAGCTACACGTAATAAGAGATTGAATGGGACTGGCAAGGGGAGGGAAGAAGACACAGGTGAGAGTCAAAGATGACTCCAGGCTTCTCTGAGATGATGGAGGAGCAGTGGAGGGCAGATGTGGGGAAAGGAAGCTATTGAGAGAGAATTGTTCAATTGAGTGACTGACAGTGAGATAGAGCTTAAAATGGGGCATCTTTCATTCATTCATTCATTCAACAAACACATGTATATTGAGGGGCAGATGAGCATAGTAAGAGCCATACTTTACAGACTGCTGAATTCAACCCGACTCTGCTACTTCCTAATGGTCATATCTTGGGTAAGTTGTTCAACCTCTCATTGTCTCAACTGTGAAATAATAACACCTTTCTCACTGAGTATCCCAGGATTAAATGAGTTGATGTGCGAAAGGTTTTTAGAACAGAGCCTGGCATGTATTGAATCTCCTACTATGTGCCAGGCATTGAAGACAAAAAGAAGCAGGTACTTTAAGAAATTCTCAGGTGAGAGAGGCAGGCAGTTACAAACAACAAGAAGATGGCAGAAGTTGCCATAGAAACACAAAGGCGAGATACCTGGTTATTTGTATGTATATGTTAGGGGAGATTCCTAAACAATGACTGAAGGCAGCTTTGGGAAGGAAGCTGAGATTAGGAAGGCATTTCAAACAAAGGCAGGAATAGTATGGCAGCATGTGGGGAGCCAAGACAGGTAGTGGTGCTGGAGTGGAAGGGATGGTGTGGTGGCAGCAGGAACTGATGCTGGGTGGGCAGGAGACTCAGGCCCTTGATTTTGGTTGGAGTCTTTGGGTGGTGAAATTGTTAGTGTTCTCAGCTACTAACGAAAAGTTTGGAGGTTTGACTCTACCTTGGAAGAAAGGCCTGGAGATCTACTTCTGAATATCAGCCACTGATGTCCTACCAACTGAGTTTTGATTGTGACTGGGAGGTTAGCTAGACAACTGTGGTCCACAGGAGGGATGAGCAATACCCTAAGATAGGTTCCCAGCAACTGGAGAGAAGGAATACATTTGAGAAATATTTTAGAGGCGAAATTAGTAGACTTGGTGACTGATTGGTTGAGGGTATGGGAACTTAGTGAAAAGAAAAGTAGGGAGGAAGGCTTCCCGAGTTCTGGAGTTGTAAGTGGGTAGTTGTTAGTTCTGTTCACTAAGAGAGACAACACAGAGGAGGGTTAGATTTAAAGTGGATGTAAATTAGCTGCTAGTATGTTGGTCTAACCCATTAAACTCAAACCCCTAGGGGGAAGGAATATTATGTTAATATGTTGTCACTTCAATGCCTATCATAGCCTCTTATTATGTGTTACATAGATTTATTAATTGGACCAAAAATGAAAGGTCAGAGTTTTATAAGTAGAAAAATAGAAGTTTTAAAGAGAGATTTGGAGAATGCCCATAATTAGGAGTTTGGAAAAAGTGCCAACAATTGACTGTGGAGAGTTTAGATGTAAAGTACACTGTGTGTATGTGGGAGGGGTGTCCCTTTGTTTAATGTTATCCTCCCTCAACCTTATTCAAACTAGACCTTGTCCTCCATTGACCCAGGGAAAGGGAAGCTATAGCCAAAATGTAAGGCAAAACAAAGGAAGTAATTTCTTTTCTTTTCTTTTCTTTTTTTTTTCAATTTAGCAAATCCGAGGCCCTGGTATAAACAATAGCATAGGAAGGCTACTCAGAAAAAAAAAAAAAAAAAATCGCCCACCACACTCCCCTTCACAAAAAAAGAAGAGTTAGAAAATCTCATAAATAAGAAATCAAAACAGTCATTGCCTGGAGGGAAGAAAGGGGATTGACTGGGAAGTGAAACTTTCTGGGGTGATGGAAATGTTCTATATCTTGATAGGGGTGTAGGTTACATTTGTGCTTGTCAGAACACATCAAACTATTAACACAAATTCTGTTCATTTTGTTGTAGGAAGCTGACCCACCAACTCTGAGTCTTCTGCAGTGGCCTGAGAAGGCATCCAGGAAACACGCTGGTCCCTGAGTGAGGCTTCAAAGTAAGGAGAGAGAGAGATGGAGGGAGCTTACTGGGTCCTACAAAGCATCATGCGCTGAAATAAGGGGATGGTGATGCAGAGACTAGGCCATACACAGTCAACCACAAATCCAATGAGGATAAAGAAGAAGGAGGACCAAATCACATCTCATCACTAAGGATGCAGGATAGACCTGAGAGAGATCGTGACAGGTAAATACTTCTGCCACCTAAAAGCTATGAGAGTTCTTTAAGACCCCTCCTACAAGGAGATCTCCCCTATGTTAAAAAGGGAATGATGATTCCCAACCTGCTCTGTTGCCGAGTTGTTTTAAGGATTAACTGGGATGATATATAGCATTTTCCAAAGTAGAAAACACTATGCTGTTATGGTTAACTACCACTGAGTTGGCCCCCAACTCATGGTGACCCCAAGTACAATAGAATGAAATGCTTCTGTATCCTGTACCACCTCCATGATTGCTTGAGGACTGGACCATTGCGTTCTATAGGGTTTCATTGGCTGATTTTCAGAAGTAGATCACCAGGCCTTTTCTCCTAGTCCATCTTAGTCTGGAAGCTTCACTGAAAGTGCTTCAGCATCACAGCAAAATGCAAGCCTCCACTGACAGTCAAGTGGGGCTGCACATGAGGTACATTGTTCAGAAACGGAACCAGGGTCTTACACACTTAAGGCAAGAATTCTATCACTGAACCACCAACATTTCACAACAAACACTATGTTGTTGTTGTTGTTACTTGCTATTGAATTCATCACAACTCTTAACAACTCTATGTGTATAAAAACCATGGCCATTGAGTCAATTCCAACTCATAGTGACCCTATAGGACAGAGT